TGCATTTGAATCTGACTCCTGATGCTATGCCCAAGTATCAGAAAACCATAGAGTTTTAGGCTACAGTATAACTCAGAGATCTCCTACTCTAATCTTTCATTTTGTAATTCAGTCAATTTTGACTCTAAGTGACCTATAAGTCACAGCCCTATTAGAAGGATGTTGTTGTTGTTGTTGTTATGTGCCATCGAGTCAGCCCTGACTCACAGCGACCCCTCCTTGGGTTTCCGAGGCAGTATCACTACGGAAGTAGGATTGCCCAACCTTCCTTCCGAGGAGTGGCTGGTGGGTTTGAACCCCCAGCCTTCTGGTTAGCCGTCAAGTGCTTTAGCCACTATGCTACCAGAGCTCCTATATTAGAAGGATATTTTCTTATAAAAGTAAGGCTTGGGTACCTGTGAGAATGATGTTCTTCCTGCAAACAAACTGCCTTCAAAGAGCAGCAAATTTTAGCACTCTGCCCTGAGATAATGGGAAGAGAGAAAGTCATTACGTACCTGGAATAGCCACCAATCTAGGCTATGGAGTAGAGTAATTCTATACAAGTTCACAAGGTAGGTGCACAGAGTTAAGAGGAAAATAAAACAAAGGCACATGAGAGTAAACTGATTTCCAAGTTCAGAAACATTGGAAGGATTTAAAATATTCTAAGCTCCCTGGCTACCTACCATTAAAGAACATTTTAATCAAAGATTCTATAGAAGAATTCTAATCACAATAGTAGAGATACAGAATAGAATTTCAAATTCTCATGGACGCCATGTTTCTAGATCCAAGGAGGGTGGATGAACCCCTGAAACTATGCCCTGAGATAATTTCTAAACCTTAAACAAAAAATATCCCCTGAAACTGTCTTAAATCCAAACAATAGTTTAGCTTACCTAGTAAAAAAGTCCGCCTTGAGCATTATGCTCCTTTAAGATCTATCTATAAGGGATAAAAGTGACAACAGCAACTCAAAAGATTAGGTAGGAACCTTAGGAGGCAATGAATTTACATTAAAGAGGGAAGAGCAACTCAAAAAGGAGGGTGAGAATGGTTGCAGAACTCAAAGACAGCAATCAGTCACTAAATTGTATATATGGAAATGGTTGTACTGGTGTATGTTTTGTTGTGTATATTCTGAACACAAGAAACACATGATGTATGTATGTATGTATATATATATTTTAAAAAGATAGCCTTTTGCTCTTTCAGATGAGCAAACTGGAATCCCCAGAAAAAATGGGGTTTGCTTGTGCTCACACAGCTAACCAGTGGCAAAGACAATAAACCAGGTCTCTTGAGTTTTAGAGGATTTGCTGTCAAATCATGCCGACTTTCAATTATTTGCTACTTATGATCTTAAATCCTCTACCTTCTCCTTCTCAACTAACATGCAGACACTAAGAGATCATGGTCAAGATTTTCTTGTGGGTTATGGACTGAGTTGAGCTGATATACAACTCTTTGAAGTCATTTTAATGGCTGAAGAGTACAAATCCAGCGTCCTCTCTGATTTCCCTCTGTTACAGGTAATGCTACCCAAATAGCTCTCAAGAACTGCAGGGAGAATGAATTCATCAACATTTAAGAACCTACTAACTTCTTTATGCCAAGACTTGTGCTAGAGATATAAAGGTGCTTTAAAGGGGCATACCTAGGAAGGGGGAGACAAGGACATGGGCAGATAACTTCAATATAATGTGGTAACTTTGTAAATTAAAAAATAAAATGATATGGGAAAATAGGTGAGGATCACTTACGCAATCAGGAGGATCTGCCTGGAAGGTAGCAGAACTTCAATAAAAATTGTTTCCTTCTTCTAGGTAAAATGGGGGAAAAACAATTAAGATAGTATCATCCTAACACAGCCATTAGTTAACAATAACCATTGACTAAATTCCTATTATATCCCAGGTACTGTATCAAGCACCAAATGTGCATTACTTCATTGAATTCATTCCATTCTCAAAGTAGATATGAAGTGAGACTCAGAGATTAAATAACTTTCCCTAGGTCGTATTGTCCGTAGGTGACAGGACTGGAACTCAAACATCAGTCTGTCTGACGCCTGAATTCTAAAACACTTTGCTTCATTGGTAGGTTCCTTCATAATCTTTTAAAATATATTCTTATTTTAAATAGTTGTAATCAATTATGACAATTCTGCATTCTCAGTTTTCTACTTCATACTACATTATAAGCATGTTTTGGTGCTGTTATTTAGTCTGTCTCATTTTTATATACTGCAGACTTTCATATACATTTTTATAATTGCTCACAGTAATATAATATTCCATGGGTTATGCTCAGAATAACCTTATTTTAAATAGTAAAAATCATCAACAATCTAAATGTCAATATCTAAGGAATGTCTATATACACAGGGGTAGACACATTGTGTAGAATTTTATGCAGCCACTTAAAGTTATGTTTTGAAAGATTACATAAGAACACAAAAAATGCTTATGACTTAAGAAAAATGAATTTCCTTTATTAGTTGTACATCAGGATACTCTAACATGTTACTTTCATAAATAATGTTGCAATGGCATCTTTATGGATATGGATTTTTCCACATGTGAGATTATACTGTTAGGACACAGTTTTAAAAATGGGATTGCTTGGTTACAGCCTCTAAACATTTTGTGGTTCTGGAGAAATACTGCTCATTTGTCTTCTATAAAGGTAGTATCATTTTGCAATGCTACACACTGTATGAAAATTCCATTTCAACCCCTACCTTGACCAAAAAAAAAAAAAAAATCCCAAACGCACTGCCATTGAGTCAGATACGACCCTCCTTGGGTTTCCGAGGCCGTATCACTATAGAAGTAGATTGCACAATCTTCCTTCCGAGGAGTGGCTGGTGCGTTTGAACCTCAGCCTTCTGGTTGGCAGTCAAATGCCTTAGGCACTACATCACCAGAGGTCCCCCACCTCTACCAGCAGTGGGGAATATAAATTTTAAATACTTTTCCTCATATGTGAAAATATAACTCATTTCCATTACACTTTTGTTATATTCTTTCATAGATAATGCCCTTTTGCATTTTAGGATTTTTTTTTCAGTTGCTATTGACTCCAACTCATGGTAACCTCATGTGTGTCAGAGCAGAATTGTGCTGTAAGTGTTTTCAGTGGCTGATTTTTTTTTTTTTAGAGTCTACCAACAGGCCTTTCTTTGGAGGTGTCTCTGGGTGGACTTGAACATGCAACCTTTCAGTTACCAGTCGAGCATATTAACCATTTGCACCACCCAGGGACCCCCATTAACATTTTACTTTGTTTATTTTGCTGTATTAGTCTCTCACAGATAATGTCTTTTTGCATTTGAGGCCAGAATCAGCCACATCCCCACAATTAACAAATTCCTCTAGCCCAGGAGCCAGAGGAAGGCCCCTTTGGATGAAGAATCCTTGAAGACTGAAGAACATATTCAAATGTGAACGTGGCATGTTTCCTAAAAACATGGGCACTATAGTCATTAACTATTAACAAATGAAGAGCTCTGTGGAGTTCGTAAATATTTCACTTTATATTTGTAGCAGTGCCCAGAAAAATATCACAACTATATCAAAATAAAGTAATGAAAGTAAAAGGAAATAAGGAAACCTGTCTGTAAATCAGAGAACTTCTTCTCTATTTCTCATAGGACAATCAAATATCAATTAGTCACAACCATCCAAATAAGAATTCCTCAGCATTTTACTTATTGCAAAAGATTAAAATCATAAGCCAGCAGATGGATGTTGAATATTTCTTGTAATAAACATATATATCAGCATCACCCATTTCTACTCCCTTTTGAGAAAGGTCCAGGGCACACTATAGCTTCAAACTCGAGTCTTAAACTTTCAACAACTAAGTATTTTACACTAAGGATCAATGTTCAAAATGGGGAACCTGAAGCTCTGAAAACACTTGACTTGGCAAAAGAAAATCAATGACCATATTTCTCCAATTATAAAATCAAATGTAAGAAACACCATTCCTTTATTAGCTTGTGATGCATGTGTGGGTGGGCTGGGTAAGAGGGGTGGGAGACACAGATGAAATGAATATATTAAATTTATTAATTATTGTCAACAGATACATATTTCATTTGTTGGTTTCAAATTGAGTTTCTGCTTCACTACAAAAAGTGATGTTGTTAGTTGCTGCTGACTCGGCTCCGACTCATGGCGACTCCATGCATGACCTGATGATCGTCATAGCAACATACAAACCTCCACTGACAGACAGATGGTGGCTGTGCGTGAGGGGCACTGGCTGGAAAACGAACCTGGTCTCCTGCGTGGAAGGCTAGAAGTTTACCACTGAACCACCACTGCTCCCTATAACTGTCACAGTTTGAGTATACCCTGTTGCCAGCCTGAATCTGAAGGTTCTGCTGAATCATTTTTGATAGTTGGCAGATAAGAGGAGCACCCTAGTGACAGCAGCTTTTTATTTTCCCCTCATTCTATTTTTATTTTATGTTACACTAGTTCTTCCAAGCCTTATTTGTGGTGATAAACTCTTAGGCACCATTAGGATTAATGGGATATCTTTAAAGTATATCAAAAGATTGTGTTTGGGTTTGTTATTTGGTTAAGCTGGCAGGATCAACTCAAATTTTTTGCCTCTTTGTGCAAGTCCACAAATAATAGAGAAAGTGACTCAAGCATTGATTTTTTGGTTACAAATAAATTTTAGCCAGTAGGTAAATTAACAAAATTGTGATGTGAATATTGAGGATCGATTGTATGTTAGACATAGCAAATAAAAAACAGTGCATCATGATTCTTAAACTCCTTTAATGACAACAGTGCTTGACAATTAGAAAATAAAGTTTTTGTGTAAAAAAAAAAAAACCCTCAAACTAGCATTCACATTAGAGGTGACAGTTTTACTATTGTTTCTAAAATAAGATAAGACAGTTGACCTTTGTGTTGATACTTATCTTTTAAATACAAAGAGTTTGCTCTGCCTGCTACAGTGGAATGACAGGAATGCAGTTCTCATTCCTCAGATTCTCAGAGCAGCAGTAAGACAAGTCTCAGGATCATCATGAGGCTGTATTAAAATAAAAGGCAAAAAGGAAAGTCATTCTTATATGGCATAAGAATGGGTCAAATATCCACCTGACCTGGCTTCCAGAGTTCTCTACACCTTCCAGTCCTTGGGATAAGGATAGTCTCATTATCCCTGGATGCTACCCTCCCATACAAGTCTGAATGTTCACCGAATACATAAGAGAAATAAGAACTCACTGTTCTGAAAATATGGGATAAGGTTTTAGGAACAAGAGGTTTGGAAAGAAAGAAAACTTTCTAAAGCTAGTAAATATTCAAGGAACAATTTTGAGGGGTTATAATTATAATCTTAGATACTGGAGTCTTTTCTTCTTGACCGGTAAACCTGACTTCTGATGCTTACCACCATCAAGCATCACTTTTAGAACAGGACTCTAACTGGAAAGCAGTCCTTTGTAATCACACCCCCTCCCTCCAATTATAAACATAATACATTAGCCACAGTAGAAAATACTATATAAAACAAAAAGAAGAAAATTAAAATTATTTATTCTCCTACACCCAAAGGTAAACGCTACTAACATTTTAAGGTATTTCCTTCCTATCTTAGTTTTTTGTATACACACATTTTTTAAAAATTGGGATCGTACTCTATTTAGTTATTTGTGATCCCATTTTTATCTCTTATTATGTCATTAAGATTTTCTAATGTCACTAAACAGCTTGTGAAAACACAACATGTAATGCCTGCCAAACTTCCACTGAAAGGACATGTAACATTTATTCAAACATTTCCTTTTTGGTGAAATTTTAGACTGTTTCTAATTGTTCAGTTTATCATGTCTTCCTTTAGAAACAAAGTTGCAATGAACATTAATCTTTGTGTTCATCTCATTATTATTACTTGGAATAAATTCCAAAAATTGGAAATAGATATATCAAAGGAAACAAACATTTTTGTGGCTTTCAACATATAAAGGAAAACTTAAAACACTACCTCTAAATATTTACTTCAAAATATAACTAACTCATGGATAGAATTACTGGTCGGATCAAATTAAAAGAAACACAAGGCTCTCTAATTATCTTTTTAAAAAATATGAAGCTTTTCTCCCTTAAAAGCTCAAAATAACTGCAGCAGATTGTCAATCTGCTTAATTCTCTAAGAGAAACTGAGTGTTAGATTTAACTGAATACGCTTACTGTCTCAGGTAGGTGGAGCCTGAGGAAAAATGAAGCTGAATTCAGCCTTTCAGTCTGAAAAGATAAGTGTGTACATGTAATCAGATACAAGTGGATCCAATAAAAAAGGCCACAGGCATATCAGTAAACCAAAGACTGACTGAATCCATGGTAATTTAAGGTTTTTACCATCATGCTTATAGTAATAAAAATTATTGCAACCTTTCCAATTAAAACTGATTTTAAATGCCCAAAATTCAGCATTTCCAAATATTATGGCAGAGGAATTCATCGATCAAAACAGCTTTTTCATACCTTAAGCCTGCAACCAGTCCAGCTGGCATTATTTTCTTGGATCTCTTAAATCGCACACCCATTATAGTGGCCAGGAAGAAAGCTGTAACTGAAAAAAAAAACCAACCAGTCCATGCTTTTCAAACATGTTATCAAGGCTTGATTGTGACCAAATGGGTACCATTCCAGCTTTCCAATACCTGCTGCCTGCTTTTCCCTCAACAACTGTAACTATTATGTGTAGATACTGAGTTGCTATTTCCTTAAAAAGACATAGAGCTCTATTACAATATTTTATAAACCTAGTTCATCAGATAGAAGGTTTAGAGTAAATGAACATGTTGAAATCCTTCCCTGAGATATTGTCAAAAGGTCTTTTTCCAACCTATCTTTCTATTTACAGAAGACTCCCTGAAGGCTAAGACTATCTTATTCAACCTTGCATTAGGAATGCTAGAGAGTATTCTTGTAACCACAGGAGACACTTAATAAATGTTTAATTAACTGAATGCTCAGGAAAGTTATCAATATTTTAAAAAAAGATCTAATTAATAATATTTTATCAAAAGTACCATTACTGCATTTTTTAAAAATAGCATTCCATTTCAGAGAATTTGATGATTACTGTCTAAGTAACAGTAGTATATTCAGAAGCATCATGTCAGCCTTTTGAAGCTGTACCAAGAAGAGAAATGTGGTTTCATACAAGAGACTGATGTTACAATTTAAGAATGTTGTTGTTGTTGTTGTTATGTGCCGTCGAGTCGGACCTGACTCATAGCAACCCCTCCTTGGGTTTCCGAGGCAGTATCACTATGGAAGTAGATTGCCCCATCTTCCTTCCGAGGAGTGGCTGGTGGGTTTGAACCGCCAGCCTTCTGGTTAGCAGTCAAGTACTTTAGGTACTACGCTACCAGAGCTCCCCAATTTAAGAATAGCCTTCAAAAAATATTACTTATTTATATAAAAAATAAAATGATTGACAATAAAAAAGCATGAACTATGGCCTGCATACGAATAAAAAGTCCACTATATCTCACTAAAGCACTCTGGTGGTATAGTAGTTAAGGTGTTTGGTTCAAACCCACCAGCTGCTCTGTGGAAGATGGAGCAGTCTGAGTCCATAAGATTTACAGCCTTGGAAACCTGATGGAGGTGGTTATGAGTCAGAATTGATTTGATGACAGTGAGTTTGGTTTTTTTGTTTTGTTTTATATCTTACTGAAATATTAGTTATCTTCTAATACAGTCTCAATATTGAAAACTATCTCTAGCCCATATTCAAAATAAGTGAAGGAAAAAAAACACTAAATCAACTTTCTCTTCCTCAAATAATTCCCTGTTTTTTTTGAATTTTATTTTGTTTTTCTAGAATTATGTTTGGGCAATCTACTTGCATAGTGATACTGCCTCGGAAACCCAAGGAGGGGTCGCCATGATTTGAGTCCTACTCAATGGCACATAACAACAACAACAGTATTACGTTTTATAGAATATTCTTTCATTAGAATGCTTGGTAGCAGTAACATTAATTTTGGTCTGTGTAGAAAGAAACAAGAGTTTTATTCAGACTCAAAACAGCATATGGCCACTTACCATTTGACTATGATTTTCTAGTATACCTAGTATACAGTATCAAAAACGTCACCCCAAAGGTTTGCTTCTCCACAATTGGGAAAAATGCATTACTTACACAGTGATACTTTTACATCTCGTTTGTCATTGGAGACACGGTAAGCTCCATAGCCAGCCAAAAATCCAACAAAAAGTCCACCAATCAAAGAAGGAACACCACCTGAAAGAGAAGGGAATGGGTCCAGAAAGAAAATTCCAAATCTAGTATGATATGTACATCTTCAAATGTATTCCTACTCAGGCATTTTAACCAGACAGACCCAAATTACATATATGCCTATTCACGGAGAGTTTTTAAGAAATGGCTATTTCATGCTGGACCCTAAATGCAAAGCAGAGGAATCCTGAATGTGGAGGAATGCAAGGGTTAGAATATTGCTTGAGGGAGTAAAACAGTTGGCTCCTGGCAGTGGTTTGACATTGATTATATGACTTTGGGCAATTAGTCTGGCTTCTTATGCCCTCCATTTTTTTCTATTCCCCTGCCTCCATCTTTTTACTGGGAGGTTATGACAATAAGAAACAAAATGACAATAAGATACAAAAATATTTTTAACTTATAAGGGGGGTGAGAAAGAGAGAGATCCTGTCCCAAGCGATGGTTCTGTCCTGAATAATTAAACCTTCAAGCCTCCAGATGTCAGAATTCAGAAACTGTGACTATACTGAGAAAACGTAAGTGGTCTGAAACGTGTATAATGAATAAACTTTCCTTTGTAACATATCAGCATAACTCAGTTTTTTGACATCACAATTATATAAACAACCAAACAAAAAAACACCTCATTTGCTAAAAAGCGAGTTAAATCAATCACTTATGTAATTGATAATGACAGGTAAAATCCGAATTTTGTGGTGAGAAGCCCAAAATCCCTATATAGGAACATCATGTGCCGAACCACTTACCCCACCCTTCCTTCCATGAAACCCTTCTACAACATGCTGGTCCTCAGCCACCTCTAAGCTGTCTTTAGCTTCTTGTTCGATCCACAGACCCTCAGTTGTTCCTAGCACAACTATCAACTCCCTGCCAAATCCCTGTTATCAAAAATTTGGTTCCGACTTACCTCTCCTTTTATATCCCAAAATGCTCCCAAATGTTACAAGAGCTGCATAACCAAACCCAACCAGGTCCATTGGCAAGGCTGTAATTCTAAAGCAAGGGAGATGGGAAAAATTAGACAAAATAAAAAGTTGTACGGGGAGCAAATTTATATAAAAGTGATATGCATCCCATAGAGTTTCCTTCATTCATGGAAATGAATTTCTCTTGTCTGCTAAAGACAGGGAAATGAACACTGAGGCTTAATCTTCATCTATCCCAACACTCATCCACTGTCCCCCCATCCCTGTCACCCTCAAGCACTCTCCACAGAACACTGGTCTTCAAGACCTGCCACACCCTCAGCTGCTTGTTTCCCTCCACTTCCCCAAATAAGACTTCTGCTCTGGTCAGTCAGGTGTCTTCACTGGACCATAACCCTACATTCTTCACTTTTCACTTCCATCCCTCAAATATCCTCCCTCTTCTTCATCTACAAATTCTCAATCACCTTCTGCACCCCACATCCCTATGAACCTTCTCCCTTGACTTGTGTTTATTAACTACCTCCCAATCTCCTTAACCCCTCTAGCCTGCATCATAGAACATAGAGCAAATTTGCTTCTTCCTCCTCTAAATCCCTTGACTACAGCAACCTCATCTTTTAACTCATATTCCCTTCCCCAGGTCCCTCGCCCCTGTATCCTTCCTAACCAAAGAACACAAAAAGGGTAACATGGATGTTTATTTGTTGATTTAGCCAAAGATTCACTTCAACCTTTTGCTTTGTCACTAGTTTTGCTGTGAGAGAGCTCTTCTGTAGTGGCAGAGACATCCACACTTAATCAATGGTAAATCACTAAAGGGTGTAATAACACCCTGGCATGAAAGCTAATTGAATGATAATGACATCCTATGCAGAAAAAAAAAAAAAAACCAAACTCACTGCCATAAAGTTGACTCATAACAACCTCTCCTTGGGTTTCCGAGGTGGTATCTCTAGGAAGTAGATTGTCAAACCTTCCTTCCAAGGAGTGGCTGGTGGGTTTGAACTGCTAGCCGTCAAATGCCTTAGGCACTACGCTCCAGCAGTCAGAACATATATCCAGGGCTAAGAAGTTCCCTGAAATCCTGTCCACAATTCTCTTGAGATACAGAATGTGCTGATTCCAGGCTGTCAAACCTTCCTTCCAAGGAGTGGCTGGTGGGTTTGAACTGTCAGCAGTCAAATGCCTTAGGCACTACGCTCCAGCAGTCAGAACATATATCCAGGGCTAAGAAGTTCCACTGAAATCCTGTCCACAATTCTCTTGAGATACAGAATGTGCTGATTCCAGGCTGGAGACATGGGTACTGGTCACAGCTGCCTGTTGGTCCTTGGGCCACAACTCATTCCTACCCCATCACCAATACCCTCAACGTGAGGGGCATAGATGAAATGAGCTCTAAAGTTCCTTGCAGTTTTTTAACTTCTAAGTTTCCTATTGGTGCTTTTAAATTTTTAAACTTTTTATTATAATTTTGGTGAAAGTTTATAGAACAAATTGGTTTTCTATTCAATAATTCATATTCATTTTGTGACATTCAGTGCAATCTCCACAATGTAACAGCGTTCTTGCCACTTCTTCCCTGTGTTTCCCATTTCCATTTGTTCTTCTTTCCTCCCCCTTCCTACCTTCTGGGCTTTATCCCTGGGCAAATGCTGCCCTTCTGATCTCACATGGTTGATTATTCTAACAGGCGCATACCTCCTAGGTGTTACTGTTCACCTTATAGGCCTCTACCATTTGGCTGAAAGTTGAGCCATGGCAGTGAGTTCAGTTCTAGGCTTGAATGGTGTCTAAGGAGCCTGGTGGCGCTTTTATAACTTAACTTTCTTATATCTCTATTTCTTCCATGGGGAAAATAATTATCTTTGCACATAGCTATTGCATATTTTTATAATTTTTTTTCATTTAAGTTAACCTAGCCTTTTATTCCCTGTTGTTGTTGTTACGTGCCATCGAGTCGGACCCGACTCATAGCGACCCCTCCCTGGGTTTCCCAGGCAGTATCTCTACGGAAGTAGATTGCCCCATCTTCCTTCCGAGGAGTGGCTGGTGGGTTTGAATGAGCAGTCGCCTGGTTAGCAGTCAAGTGCCTTAGGCACTACGCTACCAGAGCTCCCTTTATTTCCTGTAGTTGTCAGTAACAAATTTACCCCAACAAATAGAAAAGGAGTTTTAAGCCAGAACTTACTGTGAGGAAGGGTCAGAGGGGAGAGAGTCCAAAGCCCAGGAGATGACAGTACTGAAAAGGAGGCAACACTGGAAAGACCTCAACATCTGTAGGAAGAAGAGTTAAAATAGGAGATCTCATCTGTGCCCAAGAAGTGGTAGAGTGGGATTTAAAATGTAGGCAAGATCTCTGTTCAAAACTTTGTTGACTGAAAGCTGAATAAATAAGTAATAAAGTTTGTGAGCGGTTATCACGTGTTAGGCACCATTCTGACAATTTAAAATATCAAACTCATTTAATCATTACACAACACTATGAGGTAAGTGCTATCACCATCTTCAGTATCCAAATAAGGAAACTGTGACACAGCATGGCCAGCAACGGAGTGTCACAGGTAGATTTGACAATGTGTATCCTGGCTGCAGTAGTGGAAGATGGGCTGAAGTGAGATAAGCTAGGAGGCTGTGGTGGGTAAAGTAAGCAACAAATAATGGCAGTCTGGCCTGGAATAATGGCCCTGAGGATGGATGAATTTGTGAGAGGTTCAAGAGGTAGAATTTACAGGCCTGGATGGGGGAATGAGGGAGAGAAGAACCAGAAATGACTCAGGCCTAGGTCTCTGAGTTAAATAGGAGATCTCATCTGTGCCCAAGATGTGCTTTGAGGCTAGCTCCTAAGGGTGGGGGGTAGGGATGGCTACAGATGATGAGATGTGTTTGGAACATCCCAACTTTCAGTAAGGAAAACACCCTTACACATGGATCTGACACTCATGAGAGAGATCATTCATCATCAGGATGTAACTTGGGACTTAATTTCCCCCTTAAGTTAAGCACTTAGTATGAAGCATGATTCCTTTTCCTCCGTTGAGCCCTTGACTCTTCTCTGAACCTCTTTTGGGTTCCATTCCTTCCTGTTTGGTGTCAGAGTTACTTAGGTTGGGCTTTTTCCTCCTTCCAGCCAATCAAGTTCCTTAAGTACAAAGACCTCTAGTCTGCTAAAGACAGGGAAATGAACACTTAGGCTTAATCTTCATTTATGCCGACATTCAACCACTGTTCAGTCATCTGTGTCATCTTCACAACACCAAGACATAGCCCTGCACCTAGGCAAACCCAAAATCAAACCTACTGCCATCAATTCAATTCCAACTCATACATAATGAGTCTTACCCACCACCACTGAGTCCATTCTCACAGTGACCCTCTACTTCCATAGAGATACTGCCTCGGAAACCCAAGGAGGGGGTGGGGATGAGTCAGAAACCACGGGACTGGACAGCAGTGAGGGTTTTTTTTTTTTTCCCAAATAGTTTCCAAGGCTGTAAATCTTTACAGAAGCAAACTGCCTCATCTTTCCCCTGTGGAGCAGCTGGTGGGTTCAAGCCACCGACGTTTTGGTTACCAGCCATATACTTTAACCACTGTGCTACCAGAGCTCCTCTCAGCTAGTCAACTGCTTAGTAAATACTTGTGAAATGAAGGGAGGGAAGTCCACAGCTTCTGCCTTAAGACATTCTGTAACTGCCCTACTCTACCTCAAATGCCAAGAAACAGCTAACCTTTTAATCTCCTTAATGAGGCCAAAGGCATACATTAAAGCCAGAGCGCTGAACAAACGTGAAAGGGAGGGGGAAGGGAGATTATGTGCTCAGCACATCATCCGCTCCCATTTCAACCATGATGCTCAGGACTTTAAAAAGCCAGAAAGCATCTTGAGTGCAATGCAGTATAACGATCTACTACACTGCATACAAACTAGGTGATAGGGCCTTGCCTAGCCCCCAGCCCAGTATTCCGAACTTCGCGAAATATACTAGATTTTCTGTAAAGTAGTATATAAAAAATATTTTCACATAGTATGAGTATCAAAAATTAGCTATCCTTGAGTTCCTTGGGATACGGAAGGGGCATTTTTTTTAGTGAAGTCTGGGAGGTATCGGGAAAAGTAAAACCCTGCCAAGCATGTTTGCAATGGGCTATGGGCCCGATTCCTGCTTCAACTCTGCCAAGCTCTTGGAAGGTAGGAGAAAGGGCACGTTGGGGATTCAAGACCCTAAGGGAGAAAGTCGGATAACTCCCTGCAGCAGGAGAGAAGCGATCCCCAATAGGACAGACTCCAGCCCCTGTAAAATCCTCCTAAAGTCACTTGTATGTTGCCTACTGTAGGGGTAAGGAGAGAATGGGGAGAACACACTCTAAAAACACCCCTTTTATTTCTAAGTCTTTGCAATAAAATTCGGGGTTGGCAGGTGTCAACTGCGTAATGCACAGCTCACTCGCAGCCCCCAGCCCTCCTAGCTACCGAAAAGAGTGATATCGGTGTTCAGGTGCCGGGCAAGAATCATACCTGAAGTCCAGAATCAGAACTTGCCACCAGCGCCTTACGGCTCTGCGTCTTACGTTCCTGGGCTCGGCTCCGGCCGCTCCTTCCCTGCTGCGCGCATGCGCCAAACTCCTCCCTCCTCCCCCCTGGGTTCTGTCCAGCCTAGGCTCAACCGGCCGAGTTGGGGAGCCTGGCTGGCCTCACAGCCTGGGTTGCGGGTGCTGCAGCATCAGGGGTGGCGGCCGGACATGGTCATTTTTTTTCCTTCTGCCCACCTTGGACCCTGGCCCTGAGCCAGAGAACGTGCACGCATCAGCAGAGGGCGGGCACTGGGTGTAACAGGGATGCCGGGAGGGAAGTGATTTTTGACAATCAAGTCCATTCATCA